TATATACTTTCCTTATATATCCAATATTTCTTTCGTTAACGTTTTATGGTAAGAGAATATGACCAGCCTGTAAGCAGTATGCTATAAAATTTCTGACAAATTTAAATATATTGAAGTTTTTTTTATACAGGAACGAAACATCTTTTTATATGTGTCTATAAAAGTATGTTATTTTATCACTATACTTCCATCTTCTAACTCCTATGGGTACACTATAATTAGAAATTTATATAATTATAATTAGAATTTTAGAGCATTTTTATGAACTATTTTCGTGATATATCATCCTACATTTAATTATTTTAATTTGCATCTGCACACCTAATTATTCATATATATTTTTTTATTATCAAATTAAGTATAGATTCTTGTACTATTGTGAAACTCTTTTATACATATACTTTTATAATAAGTATTTATGCTTTTATAATAAGTAATAAAATATCATGGGCTACTAATTCCCTAATTGCAACACCTTCAATAATTAATTTTAATTTCCTCTCCAACTTTTCCATTTAAAAAATATCCTACGATATTTTTCAATTTTTCTTTTAAATAAACATTTCATTTTCTTAAACCATTCTAAAAATTGAACTATATTCACAAAACCTTGACACAAAAATAAGGTTTGGTATAACTTACAGAAATAAATTTACACAAATACAAAATTGCATTTATTATCCATATGGTACTACATTATGTAATTTAAAAACAAAAATTTTAAGAGATGGATTACAATTAGCAATTACAATGATCAATAAAGAAACCTCAAGAGGGAACGATAATAAAAGATCCAAGTACTAATGAACACCTAATTAACCCTTTGTACTCTAGAGGCGACTCTCAGTCACCATTTAATCAAATTCTAAACATCGTTATTAATTAATATCTCGAATTTAAAATTGCCCAACAATGCGTGGAATATCCAGGTAAAACAATTCTACGTTTTACAATTAATTTGCACCTCTTATTTACCGTTTTGAAAATATTGTCGACTTTATGGCAGAAACTTTTCGAATTACTATGTTCTGTAACGAAAAGGTCACCGAGTGCAAAGGGTTAATATACTCTTTACGAAAACTCGAGAAACATTTTTAACAGCCTTGCTGTAATTCTGACTACGTTACAACTTTAATCGCGCAGCAATTCGCCAGGCTCCACTCTTATCTTTGTCGAAGTAATCAGTTTACGAGAGTTAGACGAGTTCGTTTTCTCCTATGCTCATTAGCTCGTTCCACGGCCTCTCTTTTTTCATTGTTCCGTGACAACAAGAAACAACAGGAAGAGGATGGGCTGTTACTGTCTAATGAGCCTCTTGCACTCATTCAACCTCTGTGAATGAGCGTTTATGTTCGGCTCTACTTGAACATCGGGGCGAAGTTGCATCCGCGAACAATACCTCGAGTCGAAAGAATAAACTTCGCATCTCCGTCGTGGCATTTCTGTGAATTCTGAATAAGGGGCTATTGGAAAAATGGCTTCAAAGGTCCCAAATGAGCTGACATTGTATTTCATGGACAGAATTTTCTATAATTACTTTGCCAACAATAAGATATTCATCGTCTACTTCTAGTAGTGCTTGTTGGGTAAATTCAAAAGTTATATTGATTTTGTATAGTGTAAGAAAGATTGTAATTTGTAATTATATCTAAGATATGATAATAATTGACTGGTACTGTAATGTCTAGTATTATACTTATATTAATTATAATAGTTATTGTATAGTAATAAATGCATATTAATTATTAGTTATATTTAAAACTCAATAATATTGAATTATTATTATAAATATCGTTGCGTGTAACAATCATGGCAATTATAAGTTATGTTTAATTAATTATGTTTAATAATTAATTATTGCAAAGAAGTTTAATACATAATATTAAAGTATAGTAATTGCGTATTATTTTAATAATTAATATTAAAAAATAATATTACATATAATTATTAAATAAATAATAATGTTTTTGGGTTTTATTTTTAGTATTGTGAAGTATTGACAAATACAGAATATTGTTATGCATTTATTTCAAATATTTTGCTTTCGTTTGGATTAGTAGTAATCATGTGCTTTAAATACATGTATGGTTGTTAATATTGTTGCCTTTTATTGCTAAAAATGAGATAATTTTATTCTACGTAATGGAGAATTAACACAAACCTTAATTGTTAATTAAAAATTATTATTTATTGTTTTCTGTTATCTGTTAATGTTAAACTTTTGCAGTATCTGGGATATACATTAATAACATTAATATAATAATTAATGATTACTGCTTTACAAAAATAACAGAAATAATACTGAAATAATATTTTAGTAAATAAGTAATACTGAAATAAATAATACAAAAATAAGGTTACAGTATTATTTGTCATTGTTTCCTTATGGAAATAATTAACAATATTTTGCTTGCTTGAAAGAGGGCCGAGTTAAATATTTTTCGCTAAAAAATTCAACAGAAATTGTCACATACATGCATTAAACAATTGAAGCTTCAACCAAATGTAACTAATTTCATAATTACCGCCATACCGACATTACAGATTTCCATTAATTAGAGAAATAGGTTAAAGGTTACATTCATATTACAAATATAAGGGTGAAACTTCCATGAACTCGAAATTATCCAATAATTTAAGACATGGACCACTACCCATACGCCAGGTATATTAATATTTAGTACACAATATTCAGCTTTTTATTTCTCCAAATTTATTTCAGAAATTTCTATATAGCCTGTTGCAACGATAAACCAATTTCCCTTTTATATTGTAAAATATTTCCAATTTATATATATTGAAAATTATTATATATATATAAATTATACATTAAACATAATTTACATATAAAATTATATTTACTTATCATATTCCATTATGTTGATTTTCGTAATTTTTAGCATAATATATTAAACATAATTTACATATAAAATTATATTTACATATCATATTTCATTATGTTGATTTTCGTAATTTTTAGTATAAATTTCTTATGCAAATTTATAGGACGATTGTTCATACATTTGGCACATTCCCTCTGGAGATCGTTGCAAATGGGTGAAGGAAACCAAGGATTGTATCACAGATTCTGTAATACAATACACCGAATTACTCTTTTGTTCATTCGCTTCAGAAAATACATTTTTGTTCGGTATTGGTCTGCTAATGATGATCATATGGCTGTTATACTTGTTCTTAATCTTAGGGACTACTTCAGATAATTTGTAAGTAATTATTATTATACTGAATTTATATATTCTTTTAAATTCTATATAATATTTTATATTTAGATTTAAACACTTTTCCCAGATGTTTCGTCTACTTAAATATAATTCTTCTAATTAATTTCCTTATTATAAATTTTAATTCGTATAATTAAATAACAATAATTATTTTCTAAATTAAACTTAATTTATTTTTTAAAATGGCTATTAAATACTGTCACAGGTATAATTATTTAAAAATTGGTGTCTTTAATGCAAGAGAAATAAAAGGATTAGTTATACTATATAATTAGATAGTATAAAATGTAACCTATAAAATTGCAATGACTATACAATTATAATTCATTGCTTTGCTTGCCTTTTTTCATAGATAGGAAGAAAATGAATTTTAATTAACTACTTCTGCAATTAAATTAATCAGAGAAGTGATACCGTGCATTCGATTTCATAAGAATGTATTTTAATTTTAATTTCGCTCGTATTCGAGATTTCTAATTGTGCTCCAATTACAATATGAATTTTCATATAATTTGCTGAAGCACTTAATGAAGCACAATCATACACGTTCACATTTAAATGTTAATGTAAAATGTTATTATAATTGAGAACAATTGCAGTTATGTATTTCAACTAATTATTGGAACAATTGTTTTACGTAATTATTATAATTTTTCCTTTATCAATTGTTAAGTCATGAAGCAAGTTTTATTACTTAAAATTTATTACCATATTCATTATATTTTTATTTTAAACATATTCTATGTTATTTATTAGACTCAGCTGATTTACTGTATTTTTATTTAGAAATAACTTTTTAAATATTTTATTATTTCTGCATTAAAATAATTAATTAAATGATAAGCTTAATGATGAAAGGATTGTTATATGTGATCTATAGATCTCTGGTATTTAGTACTATTGTCAAAGTAAAGAATTAATAATTTTCAAATATTTGAAATACATTTTTTCTTTTATTTCTAATAAATTAACTCAGAAATTTTTTAATAATTTAAATTCCAAGCATCAATGTTAAAAATTGAAATCACATATTGCAATAAATTACTATATATTGTAGAAGAAGAACTATACAAATAATTTTACAATATAAATTGAAAAAATTACTGAAAACTGAGCTGGTTTTAAGCTTCAGTTAATTGAAGTGAAATATTGACTTGAAGATGGTTTTGTATTTTTTTAATCTTTTTTACTGTACACAACGCTCGAGGATATTGAAGTTTCGTTAGCTTTCGATATTGTTTAAAACAAACAGCAGAGTAAAACACGCTTTCGTCGTTCCTTTCAATTTTATTCTACGTTTGAATTCTGAGTTAATATTTTTTTTGCAGAGCGTAGATCTGAATAAATACTTACTTACATTCATCATTAAAGTCATACAAACTGGATAGATTATTCATTTTTATGAAGCTTCTTCTTATGAATCGGTAGATTATTTAAAATCGGTAAAATATAACTAATTAATTCATATTTTAATTATGATTATAAAGCATATTGATGATAGAATTATTAATCTATAACCCATAACAGTATAATAGATACTTTCCATAAGTGATAATAATTTTCCCATTCCTTTCAAAATATTTTATTTTTAAATATTCCAAATTTTAAATATCCTTAGGTTCTTTCTAATATTTTACTAATTTCACTGAAACATAAATATATTTTAATTTGTACTACTCAGCATTGCAATTTTTTCTTGTCCTAAGGATATTTAAATATGTTTAAAAAATACTGAAAAATAGTTAAAAATATTTAAACTACGTAAATATAGTTAAGAATATATAGAAATACTTAAATATATATATATATAAGTAAGCTTAAATCTACTGAAATATACATAATTAAAGTCAGACATACTTAAATATACATATACCTGGAACATTTAAATATATCGAAATCTGTTCACAAATTATAAATATTTCAAAATATTTGAGAATACTAGAAAATACTTAAATATACTTAAATACATTTGAATATACTTAAATATACGTTTCTTAACGAAATTTGTTTTCAATAGAACACAAATATAACTAAAAATTCGTACGACTCGAAATTTGTACAATTTTTCTTTCATTTAAATATTTCTATTTTCAAAAGACACAGAAACACATTCTACTCTCACTCAAAATCATTTTGTTTATAAACTTATATATGTAATATGTGTCCCAAAATTTATGCAAGAAGTAATTTTAATAGGAAACACAGGTTTTTAATTAAAAGTTGTAAATATTTCTCACTAAAAAGGTGCGTTGTTCTTTTCTATAATACTCCATTTTTAATAACCCTGGACTGTCAGCTGTCATGCTGCCTTTTTCCTTTCATTGGCAACATTTTGCCTCACGAATGACGCAAGATTCAAATCTTGCATGAATTTTGAGACACCCTATACTTACATATCCACGCGTTCACTACCGTTGCTCACTACCGGCGCTTTATGCCGTCATACAACCCATACGTGAAACCTCGATCGAAAGTCAGAAAATCACGGAATGATAGTTAATAAAATAGTTATGGCCGGAATAAAATCTCTATGATTTTCCATAAAAGTGGCGATATCGATGGCTAGGCGACGCGTAAAATCTTTCACGGCACATTGTGTTCGGTAAAGGGTGAATTACAGCTCGTCGTATGCGTGCGAATCGACATATTCTCATGCGGAAACCGATTCAATTTTAATCCAAACGACCGTACCAAGCTTTATACTCTGTCATTAAAAAACGAACGACCCGCCCCTGCACGGTTACCGGCCACTTCCTGCTCTAATAAAACTCGAACATATAGGCAATACTGATCTGCAGGTTGGTCGTGTACTGTAGGGAGCTCAGAAGAAGTCAGTCAAGATGGCTGATATGATATAAAAGAGTGTCTTTTTTAAATATGTATTGTTCCTTTCTTTCGTCACACGGTGTCTACTGTAGAAAGCTCAGAAGAAGTCAGTCAAGATCAGTATAATTTTATATTGGTTCCTTCGTTACACGTTGTCTACTATAGGGACCTCAGAAGAAGTAGGTCAAGATCAGTATAATTTTATATTGGTTCCTTCGTCACACGTTGCCTACTATAGAGACCGTAGAAGAAGACAGTCAAGAAAAGAGTGTCTCTTTTTAATATATATTATTCGTTTTCTGTGTCACACGTTGTCTACTATAGAAACCTCAGAAGAAGTCAGTCGAAACAGCCGAAGATACAGAAGAATGTCTTTTTTCAATAAATCTAGCCAATGTTTTCATCACACGTTATCTACTATAGGGAGCTCAGAAGAAGTCAGATCGAGTAATCCATAGACAAGAAATTTTTCGGTATATATCATTTGTCTGCTTTGTCATAAATTGTCCCTACGTTTTAAATTAGCGAATGTGATCATCTAGCCAATTAAAATAATTCTTCTATACCTGTATTTATTTATATGATTAATTTAATATACTGATTGCTTGCCAAGCACAGTCAATTGACTTCTTCCGAGCTCTCCGCAGTACACGTTCCAAGTTAGTGAACGTGAACGTCTGACCAATTAACATGATATTGTGTAGCCATCTTTATCTGTATATGAGATTAGGCTAACCTAATCGATTGTCATTCACAGTCAAGTGACTTCTTCCGAGCTCTCCACAGTACACGTTCCAAGTCAATAGACGTGAATATCTGAGCAATTAACATGATTCGTATGTGACCATTTGTGCATGTGCATGCGATTAGGCTAACCTACTAATTGGTTCTCATCCAGTCAAGTGACTTCTTCTGAGCTTCCCACAGTACAGAACTCGAGTATGGATACAAGCAGTTGCAATCTGTTACCCTGTGGCTGGCCTACATAGGCGTGGCTATGATAATACCGAACATTCGATGTAATGGACCAAAAGCAATGGCCCATTCTCAGGTGAGAAGGGTTGAGAAGTCGAGTAATATGGGCTCACAATGGCTTTCAAAGTGTGTGCTGTCGATATGATGGGGATAGTGTGAAATTGTAATTTGCTGAATGGAGTAGAAGGGGACGTGTGAATTTTATTGTTGTCGTAACGATTGCTTTGCATGATTGCTGAATGAAATTTAAATCGCAGCTGTTAGATCGTTAATTGTTTGGAATTGAATCGAGATACGTTGTGACCTTTTTGTTGACTTTTGCATTTATATTTTGCATTTTATAATTGTTTGACTTTTATGATTGTATTGATCGTTTGCAGCAAATTGCTCTATGTTCCACAAATAAAAAATAATGTTATTTATTTATATATGAGGTTTCGAATTTTACTTTTTTTTAGAACAAATTACTTTTTCTGCTGACTTTATAATTTTATTTGTCCAATTTTTTAAATTGTTATTGATTGCTTGCAACGAGTTATGAAATATTTTATATGTATAAAATAGTGTCACTTGTTTTATCGTAGAATTAGAGATTAATTTTTTTAAATTAATTACTCATTTGCAAGAATATAAATCATGCTTTTGTTTAAAGTTTCATAATTTTAACTTGGTTTCATTTCTTAAATTGATATCGAATATTTGAAATAAGTCATGATATACTTAATAAATACAAAAGAGTAGTCTCTACCTCGTTTTAAATTTTAATTAAAAAGTACAATTTTAACGAAGATTGGCACTAGGTTTTCCAATCTTTCTATCTTTTTAAAGTCTATAATGAGGGAAACATAATTAGAGCTATATTCGATAGTTTGAAAAAGAGAAATGCAAATAAAAAAAATTGCACGATAAAAAAATACACAGAAGTAAACTCTAAATGGGATGAAAATAAGCTTGTATATTTCCCATACAATCCTGTAATAATTTCATTACGTTTATCGTTAATAAATTAAAATACATACACTAGTACAACTAATTAATTGTCATAGCATTATTCACTTACTCCCTTTTTTATCAAATTCTGCAAATACATATTTCATATATACATGGGTACATTCATTAAATTAAAAAAATTTCGAATGTCAAATAGAACCAAAAAATTTCCCTTTTTGTTAAAATAAAAATAGAAACATTACAAATATATTATAAATGTGTATATAATATGGAAAAATAGTTGTGAAATACGTATAAATGTAAAAATAAGGGAGAAATTAAATTGGTAAACGTGAAAATCAAATGAGAAGATAATTTAATATTAATATTATACTATAATAATATTAATAATAATTCGTAGAAAATATAATTCAACATGCCAAACACGAATAAGTTCTTTTATAATTTTTTAATTTATAAATGAATTAAACTTTAATTAATCATAAATTAATTTCTCAGCTAATTTCCTCAAAATCATAAATTTAATAAAATTCCATAATTCAATAAAAATAAAATAAATCCAGTACCTTAATGAAAACTCATCAACCAAATTAATAAAATATAATTAATAATAATTCATATATTTTGTTTAAATAATTATTTAGACAATTATTCAGATATATATAAGTAATAATTACTATAATTTATATAATAATAATTGGCTACATAATTTCAATACTAGAATAAAAATAAAATAAGAAACTCCATTTGTTTCAATTTAAGAAAAAATATAGAATATATCCAATAATATTTTAACACGATTAAATTTGAACTACTATAAGAAGAAATACCATGATCACTGGCAAAGGGGAACGAACAACCCCTACCACGAATGTGGCTAAAACAATTAAATCCAATATCTCCTTCGAACTAAAAGTTCCTTCCGCTAGTCGTGACCCAGAAAAGGAATTAATTCCACAATTTGCTACCGAATTTTCTCATCGTACGTCACATCATCCTCCCTTCCCTTCTCCGCTTTGTTCTCCAAGCACGCTCCCTTCTAAACGCGAACCGGATAGCTCCTAATTCATTTAGCTATCCGAACAGCTGCATTTACAAACGCGGCCACATCGAAATTCGATTCGCGATAAGGGAAAACGCGTGAACTATCTATCTTGCTATTGTCGGAAAAATGGCAAATCGAAGGAATTCAGGACCAATTGACCCCCTTTTTAGCGCAATCGTAAAACTAGGGCAAACGAATTTTCATTATTGACTGAAAGTGTTACGTCTTCAAATTGGATCGTATTGCGTAGAGCTGCACGAGAATATAGATCGAGATCAAGTGAAATAGAAGGATAAAGAATAATTGTCGATATACACTTTTGTAGTACAAAGTGCTTGTGGTAATACTCATTTTAGTTTCTACAATTTGGGACCATGTCTGGATAATTATCTAAGCTAGTGGATCTTGGGAAGTTAGAAATTATGGTGAAAGAGAAAAATGTAAGAGAGATAGCAATATTCCATTCGAGCATAATGTTTTTACAATACTGACAAATTAATATCGAGGACATTTTGTGAAATCAGTTTTAGGAATTAGTTGAGTCCAATTGACTCTAAAAATGGGCAGAAATCTAGGAATTTATGCGTGCAGTACTGTTAATAGTGTTTTATTAATAAAAATTGTATATCACGTCCTTAATTACAATATTTGTGTACTAAATTGGCCTTTGTGTTGTTTATTTTATGTAAAAATGCTTTATCTTTATTTTTATTAACAGTTTTCTCCTTAAATAAAGATAATGAACTCAAAAGTGTATCGGTATAGGCATAGACTCATTAACATAACATAAAAACTAGATAAATACTATTATATCAATATATATAATCAATAACAGGCAGGGACTTAAAAGCGAGGACTTAGAGACTCTGGTGGCGCTAGTAGTAGCATACCCAGCGTACCCCTGTGCCACTCGCTGTATATCTTCTTAAAAACGTATAGTTCTATACGAATATAAGAGGATCAAAAATAAAATATTAAATAAATATGTTATACAGTGAGTCATAGAAGTATATGTACTCTACCAATTTCTAATTTCCTATTATTTTGGGATACAAGTTTGAAAGTACGTACTAATGATTTTTAAGTTTATTTAGTAGAAGAACACTAATTGTTTGCATTGACAAATTATTGAAATATGAATACTTCCAAGGTACAGTGTACATATGTTAGGTTTATAATATATATTGCAATTATACAGAAGTAGGTTAGGTAGATGGCAGTAGTGTTCCTCAAACGCCATCTACGCTTCTTCTGACAAACCATACAACACTATTCCTCACAAAATTATTCCGAAAAACATTACACAGTTCATTTCTTCCTATTTAGCATTCTTTCATTCTCCCTTTTTACATTTACTTTTTCCACTAATATCCTTGATATCCTTAATAACTCCTGCTATTCCTAATATTCCCCAAGAACTAACCTCAAACTCGAATCACCATTCGAGCGAGGCCTATCATCAAAAATCAATCGTCACCTTCCCTCTCACCCCAGCGACACCTAACTTATCAGCTTACCTAGCATAACCTCTCTTCCAACCCCCAAACAGCCTACGGTTCCCCACATTTTTTTCATTCCCTCTGTCCGTGTAGCTTCTGCCCGTCACTAGCGGTGATAGCCGATGTTTTGCGGCTGTCGGACAATATAGCCGGGGTGACGATATTGGCATTCGGAAACGGTGCTCCTGACATCTTCACGTCCCTCGTATCGGGTAGCGACGAAGGGATAATAATGTTCACGGAATTAATCGGCGCCGGTGTCTTCGTGACGGCGATTATCGCCGGTTCCGTCGCGGTGATCAAGCCCTTTAGGGTCCAGCTGAAGCCGCTGATGAGGGACGCTGGATTTTACATCGTCACGGTCTGCTGGATCAGCTACGTCGTGCGAGACTACACGGTTCACCTCTGGGAAGCTATCAGTACGTACAACTGCAAACTGCTCGAACACGTTACGCGAGTCTAATCGCGCCTTTTATTTCGTTATCTTTGTTAACCCGGCTCGAACGCCGGATCCGCAATTCCCTCAACTTCCGTGCGGGGATCCTCTCGAGTTGAATGGTCTGGGAAGCGCGCAACTTCGGCGAAATTGTAGAGAGTTCCTTGTAACGTTGCATGTTACGCTGCTAAGTCTGTTCGGAAGAGGCTTTGCTAACTGTTTTAAAAATAGGTTTATACCTGATCGTTCTCGGAGTTTATGGGCTTTGTAAGTTTAACCTTTAACACGGGTATGGTTTCTTCTCTTTTTTGGTTTCGCGCTGATGTTCGCGGGGTTAGACGATGCGCGAATATTCTTGACCGTTCGTTAGTAGCTTGAAATGAGGAAGTGAAATTGGATTATCCAAAATTCAAGATAAATTAAGTGAAGATATATACCTTATTTGACTATACATTTCGGTGGTATTTTTCTTAAAATAAATAGCAGATGGTACGTAATAATGGACTATTTTGATACGTCTGGAATAGTCCGAAAAAGTCGTAATACTGCTGATAGTGACGAGGAAGTGAAATAGGATTATCGAAAATTAAAGATAAATTAAATGAAGATATATACCTTACTTGACTATATATTTTTTGTGTTATTTTTTAAAGAAGAATTAGCAGCTGGAATGTAATAATGGATTCTTCAGATACGTATGGAATAATCCAGAAAAATCGTAATATTCTTGACAGTAATAAAGAAGTGAAATAGAATTTTCGAAAATTGAAGATAAATTAAATGAAGATACCATATTTGACTATACATTTCTGTGCTATCTTTTAAAGAAAAATTAGCAGGTGGAATGTAATAATAAATTCTTCAGATACGTATGAAATAGTTCAGAAAAATCGTAATAGTGTTAATTTTTATGAGAAAGTAAAATAAGATTATAGAAAATTCAAGATAAATTAAATGAAGACATGTACCTCTTTTGACAATACATTCCTGTATTATTTATTAGGAAAAGAATTAGCAGGTGGAACGTAATAATAAATTCTTCAGATACGTATGGAATAGTTCTGAAAAATCGTAATATTGTTGATTTTGATGAGGAATTAAAATAGGATTATCGAAAATGGAAGATAAATTAAGTGAGGATATGTACCTTATTTGACTATTCATTTCTGTGCTATTTTTTAAAGAAAAATTAGCAGATAGAATGTAATAATGGACTCTTCAGATACGTATGGAATAAACCGGAATAATCATAATATTCTTGATGACGACGAGGAAATAAAATAGGATAATCAAAAATTGACAATAAATTAATTGAAGATACATACCTTATTTGACTACATATTTCTGTATTATTTATTAAGAAAAGAATTAGCAGGTGAAATGTAATAATAAATTCTTCAAATACGTATGGAATAGTTCAGAAAAATTGTAATATTGTTGATTTTAATGAGGAATTAAAATAGGATTATCGAAAATTGAAGATAAATTAATCGAAGATACACACCTTATTTGACTATACATTTTTGTGTTATTTTCCTCAAAATAATTAGCAGATGGAACGTAATAATGGACTCCTCCAATACATATAGAATATACCGAAAAAATCGTAATACTCTTGATCGTAATGAGGAAGTGAAATGGGATTATCGAAAATTGAGGATAAATTAAATGGAGACACATACCTCATTTGAATACACCTTTTTTATTTTTAAAAAAAGGATTTAAAGGTAGAAAGTAATAATGGACTCTTCAGATACGTATGGAATAATCTGTAAAAATCGTAAAAAAGATATAATAGTGTGAAGGCGCGATCAAATACGCCGAGCTTCATAGAAACGGAAAAGTTTATCTACGGTGAGCCATAAGTATGCAGTTTAATTCTGCAATAACGATAACTCCAGGGCGAATTTAATTAAGCAAAGCCACGATCTTTCTGGCCTCGGTTTCCTCGCAATTTGACCACCGACGAATTTCTGCCGCGTTCTATGATAAGGCCGTTGAACTTAAAAAAAGGACAGGTCAGAAAATGGAAAGGAAAGTGGGACGGACAGTATGAGAGGAGAAAATGAGTCCATTGTCGGATAGAAAGTTAGATCGACAGTAGAAAAGGTAAAAACGCATCGAAAGCTAACAATCGAAGCATTTGGTGAAACAATTGAAGCTTCGTTCAAGGAGGTACTTGGTCTTATGAGAGACAAGGAACTCGAATTGACCCAGAATCATCAAAAAATGTCTGGTGTTAATTATTGGAACACTGTTCAGCTGATTCATTTCTAGAAACTTTCTATATTCGTACAAGTAGCAAGTTTGATGAAAAATAAGAAATTTGAATGTCATGAAAGTTGTCACAAAATTGTTAATAATAATTATTGGAACGTGCTATATTTGATCTATTTTTGTGAGCCTTCTTACATCCAAAGAAGCACCTGGTCCGATGAAAGACTAGGAAATAAGTTAAAATATTGTTAATGATAATTGTTGGAATGATGAACAGCTGTTTTATTTTTGGAAATCTTATATGTGCAAAGAAGAACCAGGTCTAATAAAATATAATAATAAATAATAAATAAAATATAATAAAATATAAGGAATTTAAGTTAGAAAAATATTAAAGCTACGTTAATACCGTTTCTGAATTAAAGATTATTAATCCTAATTAATTCATAACTATATTAATTTATAGCTATTATAAATATTAATTTATCAATATTAATTAACATTTATAATTAATATTTATAATATTATGAACATTAATTTATAACTATATTAATAAATAACTGTTCAACGCAAATTTTAATCAGTAATATCCACTGATTATTTATTCCAGAGTTTACTTTTCTGAACACGAATTCGTAATCAAAATTGTTCTATCGCCTTCAGTTTTCAAAAATTATGAATTTATCTAAAAAGGTACGATATTTAAAGAAAATGAAGTATTCCATAAAAAGTAAGAACGTTCGGAGGTACATTGTTGCCTCACAAGTTAGGTGAGAGGATCCTGAGTTTATCGATGTCCATAATTATAATTATTTGAGTTTTTAAACAATTATAATTTTATATCAAAGTTTAAAAATAAGCCTCTAATCGTAGTTTCTAAGCATACTCTAGCATTTTCACAAAATGTTCCTTATCTAACACGAATTCGCTACACGGTATCGTATTCTGTAGGGGTTTCTGCTAAAGAAACTATGGAACAGAATTGTCGAAACCATTTTCAATTCAATTAGATCGAGAAAATATTTGTCGGTAACGCGTATACGGGGTTTTATCGCCATGCAGCCATTACTCGCCTTTCTAACCACGGCAGTGCCGTAGCTACGTGTAATACCAATACCAAGTGCAATGGAGCTAACACATAACTGTCCAGGAAAAAAGAAAAAACAATTTTGTTATAAGATTTCGGAAAATTGAGGAAATTCGAAGCGAACTTTGAAAATGTACAATAGATAGGACATATCTTAAACTTATTACCGACTTATATATAACACGTAATTAACTAATAATTACTTAACGAGTAATTTAGAACTAACTTATAACTAGCTTATAACTAATATTTTAACTTTGGTGCGTAGCTCTTAGCTTGGTATCGTTTCCCAAAAGTTGTTCTTTGGAAAACGATGCCAATTACCAGGTCTCACCACGCGGAGGTGGCTACGCATCGAGACCCGGACATGCGCCCTAGTGGCGCAACCTACTGGTGCTATCCGTGTCAAAGGTACCCTAATCTAACTTGGAGCGAATTAAGTTAAAATGACTCTACTGACACTTTATTATATTTCGTGTCTTACAAAAGGGGTTTCGGTTCGGTGTACTGAAACTCTACTGTCGCAACGCTAAGATATTTTCAAGTTCCCATAAAAATAGGGAATGAAATATCAAACACGCGAGCAAATAGAAAATCGCGACGCGCCCGAACGAGTTCGCGATTATTCAAAAGACCGACTAGCCTAGGCGATGTACTCCCGTGTACAGAGATAACTTCATACCTCGGCACCCTCCCGATCGGGCCTAGCTCAATTCCAGTCACTGTCGCACTCGCCAAGACTTACACGTGGACCAAGGATAGTCCCTGAACCAATGAAACTTCTAGTGTCAAC